CCCAAGGAACATTCACGGTCAGCATCACGGGCCATGTGTGTTTGGGCAAAGCAGCCTCTGAGCCCCAGCTGCTCAAATTGTTGGTGATGAGGAGACAGGCAGAAAACGCTGATGAGCTAAGCAGTGCGTGGTTGTGAACATGAATGCCTGCCTGGGGCCACCATAGCCTGCATGCCTTCTTCACAGCCCCATACAGTCAAACCTGCTGTCCCATCATGATGAGCGTCTTTGTCAGACAGAGTTGGAAACCAGGGAACTTATGACACTCTCAAACTCTGCTGCATGGACCGTGAATGGAGCTGGAGTCTAATCCCACAGTATTCAGATAAAACCCCAGGAAAGTGTAGAAAGGAGAGGGAGAGGAAATGCCACCAAAGCCATTACTTGTGAAGAAAGAGAATAGTGGCAAGAAGGACTTTCACATTCTGTCCTGAATTTGTTATGGTTCAGTAAGATTGTACAGGAAACACAGAAGACATGCAATTGGGTCATTAGAGTTTAATGAAGGACTACTTATCAGGCCTGAATAGAATATAGAGAAACCATTATGGATAGACCCCGGGTACAAACAGTGGACACCATTGCCAGTCCTAGCCCAGGAGTGGTGATTGGGGGGGCAGGTGATACCCCAGAGAGAAGGAGCTCTTGGGTGTATTTCCCTACAAAGTTCCCCTTTGTAGAAGGGATGTGGTGGCCTTGGGGACTCTGCAGAGAGAGGATCAGGAAGCCAATGCCCCAACTTCTCTCTTCCCTCACCCTTATCTCATACTGACACCCCATCAGCCAACTTAACAGGAAACCAGAGGGCAAAGGAACCCCCAGAAGCAGCCCCTAGGGTTTCAGATAGGGTGGAAAAGGGTGGAGACAAAAGGGCATGTGTCAGGGAAGTGGGAGGGAAGGACACAGAACAATTATGCTTCTGTAGAGTTTGAATCTCTGACAATAAGAATGAACTTGTGCATGATTTTCTATAAAACATGCACACACAATTCTTATTTAGTTGAATACATACATTTTATTTAATTTGCTTTTAAATAATTTTTTTAATACAAATTTTAAAGTTTTATTTTTTAAAAAAATTTTATGAGACAGAGAGAATTGAGAATAAGCATCCTCACCAGGGTCTCATGCCATGATCCACCTCCAACCCTTCCTAGCCAGCCAAGATTATGGGTGCATATGTCCTGTGTGAACTGGTCGAGTAGAAAATCAAACCTGCAATCTTGCACATGGATTACTGCACATCCCTCGAGCAGTACTTTATGGCTATGTCACTAAACTAGCCTGGACAAATCAATTCCTCATTGGAAAGCTACCCTGGGATGTAACTCCCTCTGGGAACGGCCTATACAATCAAGAAAAATATGTAAAATTCCAGTAAAAACAAACATTTTAATCTTCCATAGGAATGTATAGAACTCTTGCATTTTAATCTTGAACTATTAACTTGTTTTTCTCAGCAATAAAAGCACACAGTTAATGAAGCTCCCTCACTTTTTATTCTTTTATAGACTATGAGGTGTGTACAAAAGACTGACCTAAAATACTGTAGCCTTGCCTGTTACTAGCTGGTGTCTCCGCTTGCCTCTGGAGGAAGCACTCTCTTGTGTAACACAGCTTGGGAGAGGGAGGGTCAGCGTGTGGCTGGGAGATGGGAATGATCTCCAGGCATGAAGAGGCTTTTATTGTTCTGAAGAGCTTAGGACAATACATCTCTCTAGTGGGGCTTTGAAGAATATGTTACCTTTTAAAGAACATTTGTTGACTTGATAACAAAATTCACTCCAGAAATTTGATTGATAAGCAAAAGAAAAGTGACTTTGTTTATCTTGACTCAAAAGAGTCACTTCTTAATTTCTAGGATCGGGCGGCTGATAAATACTGAATATGCAAAGGCAATATTCCGGACCTGCATGTTTAAGTGTAGATCTGAAATGGAAAGGCTAACTTACAGAGAGAAAAAACAGGGTTAGTTCAAATTGAACCAAGTGTGCTTCAATTAAGTTAGATTAAAAAAAAACAAAAAAAACAAAAAAACAAAAAAAAAAACATTACCAGGGCCAGCTGGTGGCATGGTGGTTAAAGTGGCTGGATCTCACATGGCCAACTGTGAAATTCTAGTCATGGACCCCACAGGTTGAGAAATACCCTACGCGCATGTGCATGTATGCCCAAAATTCTGGAAGGAGGGAGACAAGAAAGAGATTGTAGCATGACCATTCCCCTTGAGGGGTGCTTTCTCTCTCACTTGCTCTCTCTCTCTCTCTCTCTGGTTTTAAGTACATGCATGCACCCTCTCTGACAAATTAAAAACAAAAATCATGGGGCCAGCAGGTAGCAGGGTGGTTAAGGTGCTTAACTTGCATGTGGTTGACAATGTTTGAGTCCTGAACTCGGCAGTTTGAAAATCACACCAGGTCCATGTGTGTGTGCCCAAAATCCCAAGAGGAGAATGGAGGATAGGAGAATGCAGAGTGGCTATCCCCACTGGGAGGTGATTTCTCACTTTCCCTCTCTCTGTCTCTCTATGGTGAGCACATGCACTTTATGGCCAAAATCAAATACATAAAAATAAAAACCAAAACCAAACAAATGAACAATTATCAAACTTTGGTACCTATGCTGTTGTGATAGGGTTTAGACCCACTTACAGACAGATAGGGTAAAGGTCTCAATAACACCACAAAAAGGTCCTTACTAACACCACAATAAATAGGGATATTGAGCACACAGACAGGGTAAAGACCTAATCTGGAGTTTAAGTGTCTAAGTTTTCATAGTCAAAGCTGGCTGCATTGAAACGCAAAGCGAGTACAGCTGAGGGCTGCAGTTCGTATTCAGTAACTATATTCTCACCAGAAGTACAGGACACTGACGGTCTGCTGACCCCACAGAGAATAGGGTCATAAATCACTCAGACGGCCATGGAGCCATTTTCGAAAGCCCACTGCCTTATCAGAAAGCCAGCCCACTGCTCAGACTGCTAGATAAAAACGCCTCTCCTCCATCCCCTCTTCAGCAACCTTTTTAGGCCCTCTTCCTCTACGCTGGAAACCTTTTCTCCTTGTCTAATAAATTCCACATTCTTCTCCTCTCTTTACAACCCCAACCCTTCTTCATCTCTAATTCTCCGTAAGCATAGGACAAGAACTGACATGGGTATTGGGTCTGATCACCCAGCACTCCCACCTCACTGAAGTAATATTCTGGAGATTCGACATTAAAAAAAAATTCAAACTCCAGTAAAGAATATTAATTTATTTGAAATCCTACCACTCTAAACATTTTTACTGAATATCCTCCAAGTCCTATGGAGTATTTTCAACAGGGGAACTTCAGCTAGCATCGGACACCAGCTAGTATCAGAGGCAAAGCTACAGGGGACTCTAAAGGGAAACTTCATAAACTTTGTGGAAAGTGGCATAGCTTCTGTGGCACAGTTGGCAGATCCTCTGTGGAGCTGGAAGCCACATGCTGACAGTGGTTGAGTCCCCAGCTTGGTTGGCCTGTAAAAAGAGTTTATGCTTGTGTGGTACAGTCCTAGCGGGCTGGAGGGTGGGAGGGATCATGGCATGATAGAGACTTATGGTTCTGTCTATTGTGCACAGGCTCTATCACGAAAAAAATATTGTGGAAAATGGAATTATAATATGAATTTATGTTTGTAAAAAGGTTTTGAAATCCATGAATATTTTTTCTTAATACTCATTTTCCACAAACTTTTTGAAAACCCCTTATATGCAGGGACTTAAAAAAGCTTGTGGAAGAACAGAATTAAAGTACAAGTTTATTATAGTACTAAGGAAAAAAAATGAAATCCAGGCAGTTGCTTCATGATATGCATTTTTCATGAACTTGTGAAGACCTCACTTGTAGATGTGACTCAACGAGATTAACTAGCTTCTGCTGTTCTACAACTTGTTCTCTGAAATCAGCCGTGCATTGTAAAATCTTTCTATTTATGCAAATTTAAATCTATGAACAGTCTTTTTTTTTTTTTTTTTTTGCTAGAGAGTAGGGGTTGTCACTAGAGGGAGAAAGCATCCCCCAGGGGCCATGGCCACACCGCACTCCTTTCTCCTTCATCTTGCTTTCCTTTTGAGATTGTGGCACACATGCCCACGTGCTGAAGCATGTTTTTCAAGCTGCCAGGTCTGGGATTTGAATCATGTGATCTGCATATGGGATCCAGCTTAATCCCTTAACTACCAGGTCACTGGCTGCCCCGCCCCCTCCTTTTCCAGATTAATTTCACATTTCACATAAAGCCCCATCAAGATGTACAGAGTGTACATATTTTTTCCCACAGAGAACCTTGCATTTTTTTTTGTCTGTTAAATGTTTCTTCCATTTGGACCTCATATCCACCCATTTTCATTTTTAATTTGGTAATATAAGATCACGTAATGCTTTTTTTTTTTTTTTTTGGTTTCGTTTTTTAGTTTTACTATAGGGCATGTGCACTCTGCAGGGAGGGGGTGGGGTAGGTGGGCTGTAATTCCTTTTGGTCTATTCTCTTCCCAGGATTTTTGGGCACGCATGGACATGCACCTAGAATGTTTTTCAAGGAGCTGGGTCCAGGAATCGAACTATGCAGTCAGTTATGTGAGATTCAGCCATCTTGGCCATCATGCCACTGGCTGGCCCAATAACGCTTTTTTATGTTTAATATCCACTTATACTTCTTATTTCATGTATTGTCCTTCTCTTTCCCCAAGAGGAGAAAGAGACAGACACCCCCAACAGGGTCTCCATGCAGGACCCACCCCAGCCTCTGATATGAGGATCATGGAATGCAACACGCTAAGGGTATACAGGGAAGTCTTGGGGTGTGAATCTGGGACCACGCCATGTGGGTCCAGTCGTGTTGCTACTGTGCCACCAGCTGGCTCTTTCCACTTAAAAAAAAAATCAGATTAGCTCTTGAATTAAGTTAAGGTACTCAAAAGCCTTTCTGCCACTGGCACATTCCAGATCAAGCCCATGAAGTGTGAACTTACCGCACCGGAACACGGAAAGCTGGGCTAACATCGGCACTTGGTAGGATTTCCCGTCAGCTGCCATGAATGTGCGTTTCTTTGTGTTCTCAGGTTGAAATCGTGATTTCCACAAACCCTTAAAATACACTGCATTGACAAGGACCAGTTTGGTGAGCACACCATTGATGAGATCCGGGGACAGCAGGTTGTCTATCATACCTGTGAAGCCCAAGAACAAACAAGGGGAAAACCTTAGGATTGGCGACCAGTTTGAGGGTGAATGGCAGCTATTGGTCAGCTAAAGTGAAAAATCAAAGGGATGTTAAAGAATTTTTGAAAGAAAGTTTTTAAAGCACATTATCCTACTTTCTATTTTTCTCACTAAAAATTACTACTAAAAACAAGTTTAAGGGACCATCGGATGATGTAATGGTTACATTGCTGAACTCCCATGTAGTCAACCACGGTTCAAGTCTCAGATCCGGAGACTTAAAACTCAAGCCAGGTGCGTGTGAATGCATGCCCAAGATCCCAAGAATCCCAAGAAGAGAATGGAGGAGAAGGGACTGCAGTATGTCCACTCCCAATTTTTCCCTTTTTGTCTCTGATGCCCTATAGCAAAAATTTCTCAAAACAAACGAATACAAGTTAAACATCTGAGAACTCAAAGATGTTAAAGATCCCCTAATTAGGAGTTATCAAACATTTCATCAAGAAATTCTTTCATTATTAATTCCCAGTTTACTTCATGTTTTAGAATATTTTATTCATTCAAATAAGCTATCCTTAACAATTAATGTCCCTGTTTTTGCTAATAACTGACATGTGTGACTGTCAGTGAGAGTTTTGGGGCAACACAAGATACATAGCTTTTGTTTTGTTTGAATCATTGGGTTGACTGACTCTCAGTCAAAAAATAAACACTTCAGTCCGTACAGTGTTACCAAGGGTGAATGTTTAATTTCTTTTAAGATTTTAGAAATGTTAAGAATTAGTTTGGAACTCCTGGCTATCACAAAGCTTCATAATAACTAAAGAACTGAACCCAAAAATTGGTGTCTATATTTCTGGGTCAGGCTAGATGCTATCGAGCTAGGTGCTAATGTTAGAGAGATAAGAAGAAATGGGGTCCACCTTAGAAGAACTCCTAATTTCCAAGAAGAATGCTCTTCCTGAGATGCCGTGTTGGAAATGAAGGAGCAAACCCAACTCTTCCTGTTTCCGGGTGATCACACAGATCTTCCTAAGTGCTACCTGTGGTTGAAGATTTGGGTTTTCATTTAGGTTCTCTCCACTTGGTCTTTGAGGATTCGGGTTTGTAAATATTTGTGTGCTTTTTAAAATAGGGATCACCAATGCTAAAAGCTATTAAAAATTAGTTTGCTGCATTTTTTTAGTCCAACTATGGACATATACATTAATGCATAATGTAAATGCAAATTAAATGAGGAGAGTAAAACCAATGGCTTCTAAAGAAGCCAAAATGTCTAATTCAGTAGAGAGAGCTTTAAGCCTTTCAACTGAAGCTCCAGAGGATTCTAGTGTATAAAACCAATGTTTAAATAAGTCATAGTAAATAAGCACACTGTGAAGTTCCTGGGACCCACAGTGCACTGTTTCATCATCTCTTGTTATTTCCACAAGGGGGCACCAAAGTCACCTCAAGTCTGGTCCTGGAATGAACATGCATAAGCTATAAATAGACATTATTCATTTCGGTACAAGGCTGGCTTCTACAACCAGACTCTGTCCTGTGGGAAAGAAGTTCGAACTTTATGCTCTCCCCGAAGCAAGCTCATTAGAATTGGTTCTCTGACAGTGAGTGTTCTTGCTTCCGCTGGGAACATCATCTGGTCTAATCTCCACTTGCCTTTAAGACAAAGCTCACACAGGTTCCTTCTAACCATAAACTTCCTCTGATCCTCCTCCTCACCTCCCAGAGGTGCCTCTTCTCTCGGTTTCTGTAAAGCCCAATGCTTAGCACCACCGTGACACCTGCAATATTTATTCTAGCCAGCATTTATGTGGCAGTCCTCTCAACTGAACAGTAGAACCGCATGAGAACAAGTACCCGTCATTCCTTCTTTTCTCACTCCACACACTATGTTCAGCACACAGACAGAGCTCAGTAAATGCCTGGAGAAATCTCCTTAGATCTTTTTTATTTTTTCAGAGATAAATAATGCCTTTGAGTGCCACTGGTAAGAACTAAGATATACTAAGAGGGTGTGCAGAAATAAAGAGAAAAAGGAAAGATCAAGAGGTAAGAAATATAGAGTGGCAAAGAGGCAGATGGGGACCTGTCATTGATAACTGCCCCAAGTGTGCATCAATCACCCATCCATCTGTGGCTCCCTTCCTACCTTGCACCAGGTGGTAACCGTTTTCTTTTCTTTTTTTTTTTTTTAGGTGTTTGCCATAGGGCACGTGCATTTGCTGGAGAGAGATATTAAGGGGGAAATTGAGAAATCACCCCCAGGGTCATGGTCAAACCAAAATCCCTCCTCCTCCATTCTCTTCCTGGGATTTTGGGCACACACGTACATGTGCCCAGTGTGATTTTCAAGCTGCCAGGTCTAGGACTTGAACCATGGTCGGCCATGTGGGAATCCAGTGCCTTAACCACTATGCCATCTCCTGGCCCTTAGGTAGTACTTTCTTTCATCTTTTTTTTTTTTTTTTTGAGAGACTTTTGCTATAGCGCACATGCACACACTGGAGAGACAGAAAATGAGAAATCAACCCCCAGGGGGTTGGCCATGCTGCAATCCCTTTTCCTCCATTGCGATTTTTTCCTCTTGGGATTTGGGGCATGCATGCACATGTGCCCAGCGTGAGTTTTAAGTCACCAGGCCCAGGGCTTGAACCACAGTAGACTACATGGGGGTCCAGTGACATAACTGCTACACCATCTGTTGGTTCCCAGGTGGTACATTCTTAAGAAAACAAAAATGTACTCTGCTCTACAAGATCTTTGAATAGAGAGAGGTGGAAGCTGACATAAATGACTCCAAAGAGTCTAAAGCTGTAATTTCAACAAATACCTGGAAGTGGAAGTACTTAAGGAATTATGATGGTAAACGAGAGGAATCTGATCTGTCACTGAGGTCTAGAATAGATGGGGTCCACCTTGCACTTGCTGAACATTTACTAGGTGTCAGGCACTAGGCACTCTGCTAAGTGCTTTTTATGTATTGTTCATATCCTCACCCTCACCACAGTCCTAATGTAATCATTATTCTAATAGGTATCACTTTTTTTTGGGGGGGGAGAGGTTTTTGCTATAGGGTGCATGTGCTTGCCAGAAAGATAGAAACAGAGAGACAGAAAGCGAGAAATCATCCCCCCAGGGGGTATGGCCAAGCCACAATCACTTCTCCCTTCTCCTCTCGGGATCTTGGGCATGCATGCACACGCGCCCAGCATGAGTTTAAACCACCAGGTCCAGGACTCGAACTGTGATTGACTACATGGGAGTCCAGCAACATAGCTGTTACATAAACTGCTGGTCCCAGTAGGTATCACTATTATGTCTCCATTTTACAGATAAGGATGCTGAAGCACAGGGAGGTTAAGTTCCTCACCTACAGTTGCACAGCTAGTCATATGTGGTAGAACTGAGATCAAACTCAGATCTTGTACTTTTCACTATGATGTCATTCATGTAACAGTGAAAAATGAGTCAGCATACATTAGAGAAAGTGCGGGGAAGCAGACCAGGCAGCAGGAAGTGTGGGGGTCTGTGACAGAGAGAGGACATAAGGGAACTGTATAGAGGCCAGCATAGCTGGAATACCCTGTACAGAGAAACAGACCTTTAGAGAGATCTGCAGGTCAGCCCCAACCCTAGGACCTCGCAAAAGGCCTTTGGGTTTGGCTATCTTTCTTTTATTCTTTCTTTTTTTTTTTTTTGGAGAGGTTTTTGCTATAGGGTGCATGCACTCACCAGAAAGACAGGGAGAGACAGAGAGAAAGAAAGCGAGAAACCACCCCCCAGGGGGATGGCCATGCCGCAATCCCTTTCCCTCCTTTTTCCTCTCAGGTCCTGGGCATGTACGCACATGCGCCATTGTGAGTTTAGGCCACCGGGTCGGGGACTTGAACTGCAGTTGACTACATGAGAGTCCAGCGACATAGTCATTACGCTAACTGCTGGTCCTCGCTTTCTACAGGGAGAGAATTAACATAACTGGACAAGCTTGTTGACCTTGACAGGTGGAACTGCTGGGTCCTTCTGAGCTCTATTATGTAGTCAAGCAGCTCTTAGTAGGGCAGTTCACCCTGAGGAGGCTATTTAGAACTTTGTGGGGGCAGTTATGGTTGAGTTGGCTGTGACCAGATTTGTTCCATGTCCCTCAAGGCTCAAAACAACCCCAAACAGTGAAGTGTCTTGGTTCTTGCATGACTTTCAAATGCCCCATTGGATATTTGTGTTGGTGAGAAGCCTGTTTATAAATATTTGAGCCCAGAACGTCTTTTCTGCATGTAAACACAAAGTTTTGTTTTGTTTTGTTTTGCTGCCTTTTAATTTGCCAGGAATGTGACTACCCTGCAAATCACCTGGAGCCTGCAGTTTGTATTGTTCGGAAATTGATCAAGAGTTTTGCACCGTTTTAGAAAGAACTGCAACAGCCCCAGAGTGACACAGCTTGTGTCTTGGTGTCACCAGTATGACTCTCCTACCTAGCTATGCTTCTGCAGCTGTCAATTTATAGTTATTCTAAGGATCTGACTGTGTTATTATGTATGTGGGTGGACTTGTATCCAAGGGGTTTACCTATGGAACTAAATATACACATTTTTTTCCGTTTCCCTTGTGTTACAGTTTGGCATTGTATTAATGTTTAAAACAATACGTGTATGTGCATTAATCATGTGATCGATAAATTTCATTTTAGAATACTAAAGAGAATATTAAAAATACTTGTTTGGAAGAAAAGCCTTGGGTCTGAGAGGGCTGAAAAGCACTGCTCAAGACTCTTGCTCTCCCCTCCTGGCATATTCAGGTGCCTTAAAACCACTGAGTGGTGTGCTAATGTGGTTTAATATTACCATTCTGTCAGTGAAGAAGCTGGCTGAGAGGGCTCAAAAGCATGCCATGGTATCCAGCCACAAAATCAGGACAAGAACCAGGCTGGGTGCATTGTTTCTGACCCCCTTTCTCAGGCCCAGACTCCAGGAGCTCAGAAATACCTGGGATGGGTATCTGAACACCTTTGTCTTTGCTGGTTTCATGACTGTTTTTTGATTTCAGGAAGAGAGCCCAGATGGGAGGGTCCAAGCCTTGTTGAGAAGAGATGGCAAACACCAAAGCCTGTGTCATCCACTCTGGGGATTCCTTGTCTCTTCACCATTTCCTCCAATGGTTCTCCAACCTTCACAAATGCATGGATGGTGATGGGTGGTGGAGATAGAGCGAGAGCTGCTAGGGCCTCCCTCAGAGATTCTGAGTCAGTAGGCTGGGGTGTGGGGATCTGGATTAGTCTGGGATGTGTGTAGGTTCCCTAGGAACCACTGAGACCAGACCATCCCCAGACTTTAGCTTTTTTTTTTTTTTTTCTTTCTCCCTATTGAGTCTCTTTTGCTTCTGCTCCTGTGAGTACCTCTCCTATTAAAAAAAGGCTCCCAATCTTGTATTTCCAGCTGTAATGTTCCCCTGGCTTCCCCTGAATGTTTCCATCTCAACTGCCAATTTGCAAATTAACAAGTTTAAAACAATAACATTTCCTCCATGTAGTGGGTGAAGTGTCACACCTTACGGGATGTGGAAAGTGCTACAACGGAAGGGTTCATAGAAGGCATAATCACACGTCAACCATTATTGAAGTCTTGGGGATGGCAGAAACAAGAGGCTGGGAAGGCAAAGAGAAATCTATCCTGAAGGATGGGAAGGACATTTTCTACAAAAGGAACTTCAGATGGAAAGGCAGAAAGGCTGAACAGGAAACCTTCAAAAGACACCAGAGCCTGTGGGTAAAGGCCCCTGGATGTGAGATATGACAGGGAAAGGAGACAGTCAGAGGGGCTTGCTCTGCTGCACTGTCTGAATGACAGGGAGAGCAATCTTTTTTTTTTCTTTAAAGAATTATTTTAATTTAACCATAGAAGAACAGAGAGAAAGAGAGAAAGAGAGAGATTGAGAGAGAGAGAGAGAGAAAGCAAGCAAGTCACCAGGTCCAGGACTCAAACCGTGGTTGGCCATGTGTGAGTGCAGTGTCCTTAACCACTATACCACCTGCCACCCCCCAGGGAGAACAATCTTAAAGTAGCATCATGTGTGGGACCACACAAAGGAATGAGGAAGGTGGGCTGAGTTCTGGGGCCTGCTGAGAAAGAGAGGAGAAACCAGAGTCTGGCTGGGTTCATGGCTTTTCTCAATGGAAGGGCCACTGGATCTGCTGACACCAGGTAGAATCTTGGAGCCTAACTCACACTTTCATTCACAAAGTATAACATCACACAAAATACTGTGGCCGCTCACCCCTAGTTTCATTTTTCACCCACTCATTGACGGAATTGCAGGCGGAGGCTGGATCCTCAAAGTCCAAGTTCCGGACTTCACACTGAAACACATCTTTGTTCCGCGTAACAAAAGGCACTTCCATTTTAAAGCCGTTCTTAACAAACACCGCATTAGCCACTGTCACGATGTCTTTATTTTTTTTTGAGACGATGGCCTTGTTGATCTTCTTCAACACTTTTCCAGCTCCTAAAGGAGAAATCCGAAAATACAGCAATATTTCCATAAGAATTTAAAAAGCTGTTTTTAATTTTAAAAACATCTTTTGTATTATAGCAATAGGAACAGTAGAAACAAGATACGTTTGAGTTTCAATGATGTCTTCTGGGCTCCTGGTGACCTATTTATTTTTAAAAATTATTTTTTAAACATTCTCATTAAAAAAAAATATTCAATCACTATACATCATTTGGCTTGTGAAGAGAATTTACCTAACATAAAATACTTCTGAGACCGGTTCAGTGACCTATTTCTTTAAAAAATGGGGGAGGGAGTAGAGTGAAAATACAGTGTATCTATTAGAGCTCTTGAAAACCAATAGCTGGGCTGTCTCTGAGGTCCAGTGGTTAAGATAGCTGGGTCCCAGGACCAGTAGATGGTGCAATATGGCTACAGAGCTAGACGCTCATGTGGCTGATGTGGTTCGAGTCCCGGACCCAGAACTCGAAACTCATGCTGGGTGCATGTGTGTGTGTGTGTGCCCAAAATCCCAAGAGGAGAATGGAGGAGAAGGGACTGCAGCGTGACCATCACCCTGGGGGGTGATTTCTTGGTGTCTCTTTGTCTCTCTCTGTCTCTTCAGCGATTGTTCATGTCTCATAGCAAAAATTTTCCAAAAAAAAAAAGATGGCTGGAACCCACATGGCCAACTGCGTGGTTCAAGTTCCAGACTCAGTGGCTTGAGAAACACACTGGGCACATGCACTTGTGTTACTAAAAAATCCCTAAAAGAGGAAAAAATGGAAGAGAAGGGACCATGGCATGACTATACCCATGTGGGGGTTGCTTTTTCCTCTACCTCATTTCCTGTTTCTTTCTGGCCAGCACATAAGCCCTCTAGCAAAAAATTAAGAAAAAAACCCGAAACAACAACAAAAAAACCCACTGCACTTTGCATCCAAACAGGCATATTCAAGTGCTCTTGACAGACATCAGCCCTGTGCAGATCTTGTCCTGGCAGCCCTCCTGGGCACCAGGTCAACATGAAGGTTGTCACGCTCCTCAAGTCTGCCGTTGCAGGGGAACAAATGAAGAGACCCTCTGACTCATTCTCTCGCTCCTCTAACAACCTTAAGCACTATTTCCTTTCCTGCCAAAGGTTTCGCAATGTGATATCTTTTTTTCTTTTCATTTTGGAAAAAAATGAATACAATAAGCATTAGAAGGACTATAAATAATTGCCAGGTGTCACCATCCAGAACGGTGTGATTTTTACCTGGTATCAAGCTCAAAAAGTAAGGAGATTAATTCTATGGCAACGTAAGCTTTATTTTACACGAGCCATTCATACATGCTCCATTTAGTTTTAGAGCATGAAAAAGCAGAAAATAAGTAGTAAGGATGAAATGTGTTTCTAGAGAGAGCTCAAATTACAGATCCTTCTTAATCGCTTGGGGTCTTTAAAAATGACACTGTCCTAAAACATCCTGCTAGTGTCACCTTGACAGTCTCCTGAAGAGCCAACTTGTCCCTCTGCATCTACCTCAGACATTGTTTTTTAGAAAAGGTTTTTACTATAGGGTGCATGCACTCACCAGAAAGACAGAGAGAGACAGAGAGACAGAAAGCGAGAAATCACCCTCCAGGGGGATGGCCACACCGCAATCCCTTCTCCTCTATTCTCCTCTCAGGATCTTGGGTACACACGCACACGTGCTGGTGTAAGTTTAAGCCACCAGGTCTAGGACTTGAACCGCAGTGGACTACATGGGAGTCCAGGGACATAGCCATTACACCAAGTGCTGGTCCCATACCTTCAACATTTTAAGTAAGCCAGGGCAGTGTCCTCACTGTCCACAGAGAGGACTGTACAGGGCTTCACAGGTACATGGCCTCAGTCCTCTTATGAACACCCCTTACAACAATCTGTGGGGTAGGCCCATTTTATAAGTAAAGGCACGGTGGGTGTCAGGGGAGGAAGGACCCTACTGAGGCCAAGTGCCAGTACCTGTCCCTTGTCCACACTGCCTCTTCCCTAAGCCCTGACATCTCCTGAGAAAGGTCAGGGCAGATCTTCCTCTGCGGTTTTGCCTCTTCAGTGAAAACACCTTTATTCTGAGTTCTCTAAGCCCCAACTATGACACCCGGATGAGTTTGTTATGCAAAGTGAAGTCCCATTCTATAACAGGATTACTAGAGGTTTGTAGGGACATATTTATGAAGGGGACCTGACTGAGGTGTGGGGACACGCTCTGAGCAAACACTACTTGTTTCTTTGGGCTTTGGCAAAACTTTGCAACTTGTCCTATTCTTAACCCTCGCTGTAGGCAGAGCAAAGGGTGGAAATTGCTAGGGGTGTTTCAACAGACACATTTAATGGAATTCAGAAAACATCTTAACCCCAATTAGTAAAGTCTAATCCCTACTCTGTATCTGTAAGATTCTTTAGTTTTTTTCTAGGCGTGGTGGTGCCTACCTTATGGAGAAATTTTTTAACCTTATGTTTTTCACATTTTTAGCTAGGCTTTTCTATTAAAAAAGAAGATAATGGGATTTTTCCTTAATGGGATTATTACCAAGGGATACACTTGGCCCAGTATGTTTAAGCCCTTATAAATTTATTACCTGCTTATTGTCTATAACACATCAATATATCGATGGAATGTCATAAAATATACATATGTCGTGTCGTCTTGTACTATAAATAAAGATGCCCAGTTTGTCTGAATGGCACAAGTTGCGTGGGCTACCTAGGCTCAGGCTGCCTGTGTTCACTATTACTCTGTCTCTCTGTCTCATTCTTTCCAATTCCCCGGTCCTCTCAAAATAAAGGGCTTCCTCTTCCTCTTTCTCTTCCTCACCATCAGCCCTCTGATTACAATTAAGCTAAAGCGAAGCCCGAGGGCAAATGCCGACAGAGATTCTGGAGGAAGAAGGGATAAAGGGGTGGAGGTGCAGATGCTGATGCAGTGGAAAACATGATCCTCTCCCCCTTTTTATTTGCCAGAGGGTATGTGGGCTTACTGGACAGAGAGAGGCAGAGAGCCGGAAAGGGAGAAATCATCCCCCAGGGAAGATGGCCAGTCCCTTCTCCATTCTCCTCTTGGGATTCTGGGCACACATGCACTTGTGCCCAACATGATTTTCAAGGTGCCATGTTTGGGACTTGAACCATGGTCAGTCATGTGAGAGTTCAGCGCCTGCTGGACCCCAAAACACAACACTTTGTGATGCTGAGAGACACTGGAAGATTCTGTTTGCTTCCAGAGACTTCCCTAAGTACACTGTGCGCACACGTGCCTGTGATCTGGGGTGGATTGTGGCACCACGACCCTGTTGAGGGTACTTGTCTCTCACTCACACATGGAAGAAATAAACAAAGAAACAAATAAGCTCAAAAAAAAAAAAAAATCTAGGCCCAAACCTAGGCAGCTTCATTTGTTAAAAGAAAAACCAAAAATGGGAACCAGTAGTTAGCATAATGGCTATGTAGCTGGACTCCCATGTAGTCGACCGTGGTTCGTGTCCTGGACCCGGTGGCTTAAAACTCATGCCGGGCGCGTGTGCGTGCATGCCCAAGATCCCGAGAGGAGAATGGAGGAGAAGGGATTGCGGCGTGACCATCCCCCCTGGGGGGTGATTTCTCGCTTTCTGTCTCTATGTCTCTCTCTGTCTGGCGAGCGCATGCGCCCTATAGCAAAAATCTCTCGGAAAAAAAAAAAAAGAAAAACCAACAATCAAACGTGTGTGGGGGGGATGTTTAATGGCTAATAGGCCAACTTTGTCAAAATTTTAGAAATAACAAGTTACAACTCAGAATTAAAACAAACAACAAAAACCCACTTGCTATTTTAGAATGACGTTAGCCAGTAGGACCTGGATCACACTAGGAAAGGCCATAAATTTTTGCGGCGATTCACCAAGTTATAAATCACCAAGAGTTTTCTGAACTTCCAAGCGGGGGGTGGAACAGCATGCTCCAAGTAGTGAGTCCTTCCATGCTTCCAACAGGTGAACGAACTGCAAACACCCGCAGAAGTTCGATGCTGTGTCAACACAGCAGGGCCTCAGGCGTTTGGAGCTGGAAGCCTTGGGGGCTGCGCAGAGAATGGAGTCAGAGGAGGCTGAGGGAGAGGGTGCCTAAGGATACAAATCCCTCCTTTCTCATCTTACTCCCCTTACTGAAGACACCAGCGCAGTCAAGGCTCTTTAGTGGCTAGCAGGGGTGGAAGAATACGGATGGGAAAATGCCCTCGTTTCCCAAGGAGCTAATTAGACTTAGATACGAAGTATGACTTTTTTTTTTTGGAGAGATTTTCACTGTAGGGCACGTGCGCTCGCCAGACAGAGAGAGACATAGAGACAGAAAGCGAGAAATCACCCCCCAGGGGGGATGGTCACGCCGCAATCCCTTCTCCTCCATTCTCCTCTCGGGATCTTGGGCATGCACGCACACGCGCCCGGCATGAGTTTTAAGCCACCGGGTCCGGGACACGAACCGCGGTCGACTACGTGGGAGTCCAGCGACATAGCCATTACGCCAACTGCTGGTTCCCCGAAGTATGATTTGATCAAGGTCACGGTGCATGTGAGTGGCAAAGAAGGGCTCAGAAGCGAGTCAGGTCACCTGTGGACTGCACAGCAGAGAAGGCAGACTCTGGGTGAGAACCCCTGAGCTACATCAAAACAACTGTGCCAGAGGTACGGACCTGCATGGTGAGCCAGGTCATTAAGAACAGGTTTTTCTTACAACCAAACTAATCTTTTTATAGTTGAGCTTTACTTTTAAAAGTTTTAAGTAAGATTTTTAGCTATTTTTTTAAGAGAGAGGTGTTTTTTTTTTGTTTTTTTTTTTTTGCTATAGGGTACATACATTTGCCAGAGAGACAGAGACAAAGGGAGAAATGATCCCTACCCTGGGGGAATGGCCAGGCTGCAATCCCCTTTCCTCCATTTTCCCCTTTGGATTTTGGGCACACACATGCGCAAGTACGCACACACGCGCACACACACACACACACGCACACACACACGCACACACACACGCGCACACACACACACAGGCACACACACACGCACACACGCACACACACGCACACACACGCACACACACACGCACACACACACACACAGGCACACACACACGCGCACACACATACACACACACGCACACACACACGCACACGCACACACACACACGCACATACACACACACACACACACACACACATCAGGTGTATTTTAAGCCACCAGGTCTGGGACTCAAACCACATTTGGTCACTTGGGGGTTCACTGCCTTAACCACATTGCCACCTGCTGGCCTCAACATTCTGAAGTAATTGCAGATTTACAAGAAGCTGCAGAACTACATTTAGGGAGGTCCCATGTGCTTTCACCCACTGTTCTCCAATGGCACCATCACTGTATCAAGAATTGCTATTGGTATAGTTCACAGAGCTCATTCTGATTTCCTTCACTTTATATACACTTGTGTGTGTGTGTGTGTGTGTGTGTGTGTCTGTGTGTCTGTGTGGTTCTGTGTGCAATTTCATCACCCATGTGGATTCATGTGACCACCACAAGACACTGAACCGTTCCATCCCATAGGGCTTCTTGTGCTGCCTTCCACAGATGCCCTGTCCTTCTCCCCAACTCACTGTCACAGATATGCTCACAACCACAATGCATTTTAGCCCCAGACACCATGGAGGAGGGGAGACGGTTAGTTTTCCTTTTAGAGAAAGGAAGACTGAAGCACTGAGAGGTCAATGACTGACCCCGAGCCTCACAGCTACAGGGCAGAGTCCAGCGTCCAGGTCTAACTCCTACCACCTTAGTTTTACCTTTTGAAGACACTGGTCCCAAGCCCAAGCTCAGGCCAGTCAACCCCTTCCTAGCTCCTCTGCTTCTCAGGGCTGTCCTTGAAGACCCACATCAGCCCAGCCAGCAAACGTGGAGAGCATACGCACTGTTCACGCCGTATCGCATCACCATGCTGAGCTGCTTCTTCGTCCTGCCGTCTGCACCCAACTGCAGCATTCCCAAGACCGAAGCAATCCCATGGGGGGAAATGACGATGTTGTCATGAGGCCGTGATTTGACGATCTGATTGAAAACCTGGATCCCTGTATTGGAGCCTAGTTCCTCGAGAGATAGAGGATTGAACTGGGAGAAGACGGACGGCAAAGTCACGGTGGCCAAAAGGACGAAGGGAAGATGCCAGTTCATGGTTCCTTCCAGCAAGGATGACCTGAAAAATCAGATTAGAACATTTAATTTAGGGGCACTGCAGGGAGACATCTACATCTGAGGTGCTCTGTTCATTTCAGGGATACCCTTCTTCCAACCTTACCTCTCCAGGCCGTAGCGAGAAAGGTAGGAGCAAAAAACATTTTTTCCCTTGCTTTTCAAAATTCTCTCTTTTGCGGGAACCAGCAGTTAGCATAATGGCTATGTCGCTGGACTCCCACGTAGTCGACCGCGGTTCGTGTTCCGGACCCGGTGGCTTAAAAAACTCACGCCGGGCGCGTGTGCGTGCGTGCCCAAGATCCCGAGAGGAGAATGGAGGAGAAGGGATTGCGGCGTGACCATCCCCCCTGGGGGGTGATTTCTCGCTTTCTGTCTCTATGTCTCTCTCTGTCTGTCTGGCGAGCGCACGCGCCCTACAGTGAAAATCTCTCCAAAAAAAAAAAAAAATTCTCTCTTTTGCTAATTCTTTACTCTCCTCTCCCCACATAGGACAGGGGCATTGTGGGGAGACATCTACATCCAAGGTCCTTTGCTCATTTTTATTTTTTGTCTTTTGTTTTCATTGTTTCTTTTTTTCCCTTTCTGTTCTTTATTTTTTTTTCTGATTTATATTTTCTTATTCTTCTACCTTACTTTCTTGTTTTCTGCTCAGCTTCCTCCCAGCAAGTGTATAGAGAGGTACAGGTGCATAGTAGCCAAACCTCTCAATTTTGCTTAGCTCAGAAAACCTCACCCCTTCACTGAGCCAGTGGCAAAAGGTAGATAACTCTTTTGCATAAATCTGACCTCAGAACTCCTACTGTGGAGGATGGCAAAACATAGTAGGAGAGAGAAACTGGCACAGAAGTCCCTCACACTAAAGGGAAATACAAGCTTATGGTGGCAGAAACCATCTCCAACAAATTAGCCAAAAGTGAATACATCACCAAATGACCAAAAACTGGGGGAGAGCCTGTACTATGAGAAAACCTAGTGATATGTATCCAACAAGGAACACCCTAATTTGTCTCCAAGTATGGAAAAAGCAGAGAAAATGAGTGAAATGTCAGAAAAGGAATTCAGAATATTTATGGCAACAAAACTCTATGAGATGGGAGATAAAAGAGACACCGAACTCTGAGAGATGAGGAAATCCTTTCACAACTTGAACGAGAAGATAGTCAATATAAAGAGGAATCAAACAGAACTTCTAGAGTTGAAGTCTGTAAGGCAGGAGATCAAAACCTCTTTTTAAAGTATTAAAAGCAGATTAGATCATTCAGAAGATAGAATCTCAGATGTAGAAGACAAAAACCTCTGATTTAGGAAAAAAAAAATCACCAAAATGAATGAAAAATAACCCCCCAAAATGAGAATAATATTTTCTAAACAGCAAATCATAGCCAGATTGGCCAAAAATCACATATAAAGAAAATACTCTAAAAATGGCAAGAGAGAAATGCCAAATTACTTTCAAAGGTTACCCCACTAGGCTGACATTGGACCTCTCAATAGAAACAATGAAAGCCACGGAAGAATGAGAAGATATAGTCAAAGTGTTAAAAGAAAAGCAATTTCAACCAATATTACTAAATCAGCAAGATTATCCATCAAATGGGAAGAAAAGATAAAAACATTCTCAGAAAAACAAAACCTGAAAGAATTAATCAGCGATAGACCATTTCTTCAAAACATTCTTGGGACAGGACCAGCAGTTAGCGTAATGGTTATGTCACTGAACTCCCATGGAGCCTACCGCGGTTCGAGTCCCGGACCCAGTGGCTTAAACTCATGCCAGGTATGTGTTCATGCATGCCCAAGATCCCGAGATGAGAACGTAGGAGAAAGGATTGCAGCATGGCCATCCCCCCTGGGGGGTGACTTCTCGCTTTCTGTCTCTGTCTTTTTGGTGAGCGCACACGTCCTATAGCAAAAACAACAACAACAACAACAACAACAAAAAACCTCGCCAACAACAGCAACAAAAAGATATTCTGGGGACCAGCAGTTGGTGTAATGGCTATGTCGCTGGAATCCCATGTAGTTGACCACGGTTTGAGTCCCAGACTCAATGGCTTAAACGCACGCCAGGTGCATGTGTGTGAATGCCCAAGATCCTGAGAGGAGAATGGAGGAGAAGGGATTGTGGCATGGCCATCCCCCTTGGGGGATGATTTCTCGCTTTCTGTCTCTCTGTCTTACTGGCAAGCAAACGAGCCCTATAACAAAAACCTCTAAAAAAAAAAAAAAGATATTCTGAAGGAAGCACTACACCAGGAAAACTAAAGAGAGACCAACAGATATAAGAGAACAGAAAACCACCAAGAGAATCCAACATAAATGAATGAAAACTCCATGTTAGAGTCATGTATTCGCTTTCTTTGGGGAGTCTAAATTTGATTCTTTAATGTTTAAGTGTCTCTCTGATTATGCTATTTTTATATACTACAAAAGCTATTTTGACTCAAATGAAAAAATGTATTTGTGCCAATGTTCAAATCTTTTCATGTTTTCAAAAAGAAATATTTTGGAATAAATTTTAGAAAAATTTTTAGGTTAAATCTGCTGCTTTTCTTTTTAAAATGTATTTACATGTATTTCTGCTAAAAAGAAAAAAAAAGTGCTAAATATTGCCACAATTAAAAGAAAAGACAGACAGATTAGACTTTCTGACATGTTGAAATTATATGGAAATCATTTTCAAATATGAAATGGTGTTTAGCTCTCTGTGTATAGAAATTTGTGTAAATGGGTGTTCCAAAATTGTATGAGATTCTTAAATAGCTGTTATGTATTACAATGTTATTAGTCAAACTTGTAATGCTAAATAGTTCTAATGTAGTTTGTCGCAGAAATGATCAAGTTGGTTAATTTTGGGTTATGGTAAAATCAGATCTCGAATCACAGCCATTTGAAATTTTGTTGTCTATAGTTAATTGCTTTAGCATGATGCTCCTTCCTCCCCCCAGAATTATTTTATTTAACTTTATTTATTTATTTATTTATTTCAATTTGACCAAAGAAGGACAGAGTGAGTGAGAAAGAAGGAAAGTAAGACCGCCAGGGCCAGGACTTGAACTGTGGTCGGCCATGTGGGAGTCCAGTGCCCTTAACCACCATGTTAACTGCCGGCCCCTCTGATGCTCTTTCTAAAACATTTTTTAATAGGCTATAACTCAAAAATTGCCTCTTTTAAGGAACTTAATGAAAAAGATTGTGATAAGAACTCTTTGAATATACATTTTTGATAACTTTGAGATCATATTTCTGAACTTCCAGGATTTAAATGGAAAGACTGGACTACAGTAATCTGTGAACTCAACATAAGAAAGATTAATTACATGAGACTCAACTGGTGAAATAGAACTGTATGATGTTTCACTAGATTTTAGCACTGTCCATATTTGTTTTTTGAATTTTTAGTATCTACCTACTGTCTAGACAAAATCCTAACCTGTTTTCTGGCTTTAAATTTTAAGCAAAATTTCCTTACCTTTTTTTGATTTTGATTCATTAAAGCTAAATGGCTTTTCTTGTAATTAAAAAAAAATAGTAATAATAGCAAACTAAAGACAGTGCAGGAGAAGGGTAGGCAATGCCGGGTGGGGGTTGGCTCAAGGTGGGGGGGTAAATAAACCAAAACATTTAATGGACACAAAGGTATAAAATTGTCTGATGATAATAATGTATACGATACTATCTTTGACAGGACCAATATGCAGTGTATTCAAGGTGGCAAAATTCATTTTGTATGCTGCAAAGATACACAGTGATTAAATGTTAAAAAAAAGTAATAAGAAGAAAAATAAATAAATTAATATAAAAAGAAAAATTTTATTTTTTTTTGAGAGATTTTTGCTATAGAGCGTGTGCGCTCGCCAGACAGAGAGACATAGAGACAGAAAGTGAGAAATCACCCTCCAGGGGGTATGGTCATACCGCAATCCCTTCTCCTCCATTCTCCTCTTGGGATCTTGGACACGCACGCACATGCGCCTGGCGTGAGTTCTAAGCTACTGGGTCCGGGATGCGAACCGCGGTCGACTACGTGGGAATCCAGCAACATAGCCATTATGCTAACTGCTGGTTCCCAAGAAAAATTTAATTTAAAGGAATGTTTTTGGGGAGACTACTTTGTACGTAGATAAGGATTATTTATTCTACTCAGCATAACCTAATGCCATGTTAGTACCTTTAAGGAGCAGTGTAAATTAAATCAGACTTCAGTGCATACCTTAGGGAGATGGGAAGGAAAGCAAGCAAGCTTTCCTTAGTTAGACCCTTCCTAAGTGGTCAGACACTAGACTGATCAGTATTTAATTCTTATAACCACCTTGGTCTGGATCTTGATGCTATAATCCATTTTCAGCCTTGGCCAGCCCTGGTCATGGATCTACACCTGCCCACCATACTCAGGGGAGTCTATGGATGTGAATCTGGAACCTTCCCACGTAGGTCAGTCATGCCTAGTGTTATGTTTTATGGTTGTGCCACTGTCCAGCAGCGGAGGGTTTTAAACCAAGAAGTAAATCCCTTGTCTTGCTTTATCTTGTGATTACAATGTACCTGACTCTTTTACCATAAGCATTATTATATTTTTAAGAGAAATTTTTTTTGCTACAGGGTGCATGTACTCACCAGAGAGAGAGAAAGACAGAAGGACAGAAAGTGAGAACTCATTCCCCCAGGGGGATGGACATGCCACAATCCCTTCTGCTCCATTTCCTCTTGGGATTTTCAGATTGCACGCACATGTGCACGGTGTGAGTTTTAAGTCACCAGGTCTGTGCTTGAACTGCAGTTGATTACGTGTGAGTCCAGTGATGTAACCATTATGCCATCTGCTGGTCCCATAGTACTATTATTTTTTAAATTAAAGAATTATGAATAAAAATAAATTCAAGTGACAGTTTTAAAGCTACAGTAGGACAGACCAATCGGTTAATTCACAAATTGCGAGGATGGCATTGCTTCTACTGGTATTCTCAATTACAGTGATTTGTTGTAAATAAGCTTCCCTCA